CATCTGGATCTAACTAGTCCTAGAGAGACTGCTCCTCCCAGGGCTAGAAATTCCTGCAAGAGTAGACTCACCTGAAAGCCAACCTCTCACATGCAAACCAACCAATCCAGACCTCAGGTCCCAACACCTCCTCCTCCTCTGACTTCTCACACTCAGGAGACTAGCCATGCCTGTATCACCAGGCACCAGCCGTAGAAAGATAACCTATATGCCCCAGAGCCTATTGGAATTAGTCTACCTAACCAGTTCTAGAGCTGCGCCCCGGCCTCTCCCCAGCCTTCTTGTGTAGACCACAATGAATGTTCTTGCTCGTGCTTCCTTTGCTCTTCCTCTTGTTTCTCGTGCTTTTCTGTGTTGCCCTCTGGCCCTACCCATGATCCTTTTTCCTGAGATCTATGAGTAATAGTAGTGGCCTCCTGTGTGCTCTTGGCCCTGCCACTCTGAAGTAATAATGAAACCTATTAACTCACACAGAATTGTGCACACTGGTGTGTGGGTCAGAAGAAATAGAGTGGCAGTGACCAGAATGCTCTAGGGATGTGGACAAGAGGTGACAGAACTTCTGCAGCAGCCCCTGGGGTTCTGTTCATGAAGGTTCTGTTCATGTCCAGAATGGTCCTGTCCAGTGCATGGTCCGTTCCAAGAATCTCACCATGATTATCACAGTTTGGCCCTGGGACTCCAGCAGTGAATGGTCCCTACCCTCATATGACAATTGAGATAATTTCACAGGTATCTTCATTTAGCCTAGAGGGGAGAAGAGTCCCTGGGGCTTGAAAGAGAAGTACAAGGTAGACAGGTGACAAGAGGCCCTCAGGCAAGCCAAGGGTATGTGCCAAGGCCTGCAGGCCAATTAAGTGGCAGGTCACTCTCAGCACAAACCCTCAAATAGTTTATATGTACAAATAAGGCTTTGTTTTGTTTGTAAATTTAAATTGAGGCAGGAATGAGTTAAGAAATAAGGGTTGCTGAAGACCAGCTCTCTGTGTATCAGCATTTGACCTGAACCCAGGCCTCTGGTGTACATCAGGAAGCTGGCAATGGTGGTCCTTTCCCATGCAGAATCTTAACTGCACATAAGATGCGAGGGTCTTCTGCAGCTCTGAAAAGGTACCAAGTCACCAGGCAGTGGGAGAGGTAGGGATGTAGACCCAGCCTGTGAATGACTCGCACTGTGAGGTAGTCAGTCCCTTGACAGGACAGGAGGCCAGGGGAGGCAGTGGGGAGCTGGGGTACAGACACTCACTCCTGGTTGGGGCTACTGGAGCCAGCCACCTGGGGCAGAGCGAGGGCCTGGAACTTTCTCGGTGGATTTGGCTCCAAACTGCAACACAAGTCAGAAACAACTTTCTGTTGCACTGACAGTACAGCCACAGAACCTTGGGATGTGCTGCCCGCTCCGCACAGCGGAATAATGTCCAGCTTCTCTTTGTTGAGAAGTGACCTACAAAATGCTGAGAATTCCCTGACAGACCACCAGAATCTGCCATGAGCAGCTGTCTCTCCTAGCCTTCACCTCCACCTTTGGTGGGAAGCCCAACAGCAACCCTAGTCAATGTATTCCTTCTCATTGGATCTACAATGCTTACTGGGCGCAGAGAGCTTTCTTAGGAGGTGCTAACACTACACAGGGGATCAGTTGCAGTTCCTTGTGCTGGAAACCGAAAGAGAGGAGGCCAATATCAAGCTCTTCATGCAAATTCAATTTAAATTAAATTTCCTTTAATGAAATAAAAAACAAACGGTGCATTGCATAATATTTGTGGTCACAGTATAAAACAATACAATTAGTTCATATAACTTCAGATATGGACAAAAATACACAAGACCCCTTCTTTGTCTATGGAAAATTCTGCAGATCCTCAGGTGCCACGCTAAAGAAAAGTTAACCTTTCTTCTCCCAGTGACCTGCACACATATTTCTCACTGAGAATTGGGTCAAACAGCAGAGAACTTACCCAGATCCCAGCCCCCTTCTTCCTCTGTTGTCGTTGGTGAAGCTAAAAAAAAAAAAAAATTTTTTTTTTCTCAAAGTAGCAAGTTGTGTAGTATTGCTTATTATTCCTGCCAAAAAAAGGCTCAGTCTTTGGCTCACAGAGGTGACAAAATCATGGTTGCAAAGCAAGAAGCAAGAGCCACCAGGGAAACAGGCAAAGGTCTGGGCAGAAGGGGTCTCCTTTACCCCAGGATCTCCGGGAGCCACAGGACTGGGGTGGGGTTGGGGTGGGGTTGGGGAGGCTGAGGGGAAGACACACACACAAATAAATACATTTCTAAATTAAGAATTAATCCAGCTGGTGAGTCAAGAGTTCCACCGATCTGTGAGAAATCTGGAAAGTTGTTAAAAAGTCAGTTTGCATTTTTCTTATCATTATTTTTTCTAAAAAGTAAAATGTGTATGTAAACATCGTAAAGTAAACAATTTACAGTACAGTCAGGCAGCGCTTAACGACGGACACGCCTCATGAGGACACTGGGGTCGCCCGCCGAGGTCACTCCTGCCAGCTAAGACGTCGCAGTGACACTATCAGTCAGGACCGCAGTGGCAGGTGGTACCAAACCAACACGTCCCCATGAGCAGCATGACTGTAATTTTGAGGCGTCTTTCTGGACACAGGGTAGGCTCCTTCCGGGGGCGGGAGGGAATATGTTTATGAATAGGAAAAAAAAATTCCAAACTTTCTATAAAGTTCCTTTTTGTTAAGAAGTGCAATTTCACCGCGTGAGGCCTGGCGACATCCTTCTTCATTCACACCAATGCTGCTGACCTCTTCCGGAAGAGCACTTTGTGGGGAACCCTATTTGGTACAACAACACTGTCATATCCCAGACAACGTCCCTGGAAGGCATCAGCTCCCTGGGGTCAAAGTACTAGATTTTCTCTCCTCTTTCTCCCAGCCCCCAAATGACTCATAGTTTGGCCAGCCCAGTGGACATCAGAGACACACAGCCATAGGTGGAAGCCAGTGCCCCAGTACCTCTAGCCTTGAACTTCACACCAGTCTGAGAGCAAAAAGGTACAATGCGAGAGCATTCCACATCATGCTTATTGCCGCTAAGCATCCGGAGTGACTCCGTGCACATTTCTTTGTCTGCCCGGGGCTACCTGGTCACAGCCAAAGTTAAGTACCTTTTCCTCCTCCTAAGAAGGGCCTGAGCTATAACAATCCTGAATTTCCTTTGACTGTAGGCCTGGTAACTGCAAAGGCTTGAAGGGCCTTGGCTGTGACAGATATGGAACCTGTTTATATCTGTTCTCTTTAAATTCTGGTTAGGGCAATCACCTGTGATTCATCTCCTCCCAAATAGCATTGTTAGAAAATACCAAATCAGCTGCCACGGTGGCTGCTTGCTCCTCCTGTCATTATGCATGCTTGGGTGGGGCATCCCCACACTCTGTGCTGAGACCATCAGTGCAGAATGTACATGTCCCAACTCACAGGGGTCTCTTTTGGTGGGCAGAACAAACATGGAAAAGTCGGTGGAACTCTGCCTCGGGGCCATGTGGAGGTAAGCACAGAGCCAGGGGTGGGCAGCAGAGAGGGGCAAGTGCGGGGAGATGGCAAGCTGGGAGGGAAGAGCTTAGTTCATCAGGCCAAGCTGGGCAGGGGTGACAAAGAGCCGCATGTGAGTGGCCATGATTTTGCATTATTTTATTGCTCAAAACAAACGGATCTTGTTTAGGAGTCCTGTAGGGAGCCTCTTGCAAGGCCAACGCTGTGTGTGCAGAAGTTTCAGGGGAAGTGCCAGGAGAGCAGGGCCCAGGGCCTCAGGGACAAACTGGCCTGCTCTCAACCCTACTGGAGAGGCTGTTCCCATGACAGTTGATCGCTGGGCTTCTATTTGTGTTCCTAATGGGAAAGCAAAGCACCCTGCAAAGCACACTTTTTTTCACTAGCTCCCTGTGGGACAGCCTAAAAAGACGTGAAGGGCTGCAAAGGTCATGGCAAAATACACGCCTGCCTGTCTTGTATGCAGCAGTCTGCCTTCATGCTAAGGAGCCCAGGCAGTGCCCAGTAGACCCATCTGTGGGTGCCTTTGCAAAGCCCCTGGTGGACAGTTCCTGTGCCCTCGTGAGGGTAGCCCTAAGCAGCCCCTTGTGCTCCTGAGCCTTTGCTTAAGCTTCTGGGGATCCTGCAAAACTCTCTCTGGGGTCTGCTCCTCTCCTTGTCCCCAGCCTCTCCTCCTACCTGCCCTGGACAGAGGTGGCTGTGTATTTTTCTTCATATTCATTCTTAAGGCTAAGGTGGCAAGATAAGGTGCTCGGTGGAGAGCCAAATTCTGGATTCCAGGGCCGCCATTCCAGCACTCGCACAAGAAAAACAAATACAAAAGAAGTGGTTGAGGAGCAGAGAAGCGAGAGGGAAGAGGGAAGAAAAATGCATCTGGGCTCAATGAGAAGTTATACACTCCAAGTTTAGGTTTCCAATGAGGTCTAAACCCCTGAAAATGTGGGGCCAGACAGCAAAAGCCACCCTTGGCCTCCAGCCTCTGGCACAGCTCCACACCAGGTTGAGGCTGAGCCACCCCACCCTGCTGGATAAGACTCTTGCTGGGTAGGTATGGACCAAGATCTCCCCAGGCCCATCACCCCTTCCTCACCACCACCCCTCGCAATGAAAGCTCTAAACACACACAAGTCAGCGGATCTATAAACCAGTAGGAGAAAAGAAAAGTTAGACGCAGGTTAACCGTTAGGAAGCTGCGGTTGGAAAACACACACACACACACACACACACACACACACACATACACCACACACACACGAAGGTTGTCTTTCAGAAAGTGCCGTGGGAAGAAGAGCTGTGTGCTGGTAACCGTGTCCGCGCTCAGAGCTTGACATGCAGAAGAGAGAGCGCGCCGAGTCCCACCTGAGATTAGAGAGGACTGGTTTGTAGTGTCACACACTTCCATTTCCAAGGTCAAGGTCCTCTTCTTGTCCCGTTGTTCCCACAACGTCCCTCCATCAGTCCCTCCCTTCCCGTGTGCCCGTACACGGCCTAGTCCATTTCCATGGACATGAGCCGGCGCCGCTCCCGCCGCGTCTCCTGCACCTCCTTCTTGCAACACCAGTGGGAGCTGCAATACCCGATGAGGCATGACAGGAGCCCGATGACAGTGGACAGGCCCACGCCGATCAGCAGAGGGTACTTGAAGGCGTTCAGCACTGGCAGAAGAGATCAAAGTGGAGGCTGCTTAGTGTTTGACCAAGGCGGCCTCCCTGCCCTCGGAGTAGGGTATCCCTGAGGGATCAGAGCCTATGCATTCTACAGGAAGCTCCCAGCACTGTACCAAAACCTTCAACTGTTGCAAAAATGAGCAAATATCTCCCTCCTCAATTTCCTCTGTGCGTGCGTGGGGTAAGGGAGGGGGATGAAAAAAAAAATGATTCCACTCGAAGCCTTTGAATGTCAACCTGCTTTTTAAGCTTTTGGCAGGAGATTGATTTTTAAAAGTCAGGATAAGGGCACCGCACATTCGGCAGCAGATGCATCCTTTAAGAAGTTGCATAAATCAATTCTATGCATCAAATAACTGAAGTGTACTAAGGGTGTTATTTTAAGTAACACTATAGTAAATTATCTAGTAAAGTGAATAATCACTCCGCGGCATGTTTGGTAAATCTGGGCTTTCATATGGAGTCACTGTAAGCAAGCAGTTTCTAAGATTCACATAAGGTATTAAAGATGAGGGAAATTTCCAGAAAGGCACAAGGTACAGATCTCTAAGGAATTCTTTCAGTAACATTTACTCTCTGCAGAGAAGGCATGTTTCCTGGGAACCAATAACTCCCTACCCTGTGATGCTCCAGGAACGGGCAGTTCCTGACCACCCACCCAGTGAGGTTGACTTTGGCAGTCCATGTGGGCCAGCAAGGCCAAGTGCCTGGCTCCTGGAGACCCCACTCCGCACTGCTGACTGCAGGAGGAGCCTCCCCTCTCCAGGAAGCAGTGGACCCTAGCAGAAGGTCTCTGAGCTACAGCCCTGCTTGGAGACCTGAGCCCCCTCTCTCAGCACTGCCATCTGCTGGTGCCCCATAGGATCTGTGCCAAGTGGGTTTGTACAGGATTTATAGAAGAGACAAATCCTCCAAAACTCTTTCCAGTAAGTCTCAAAAAATCATTTCTTAGTGATGCCAACCAGCACACAACAGCAAAGCAGGGAAGCTAGTGAGAGATGTTGGGTTCCTTCTGGGGACAGGCAGAGGCCAGGTCTAGAGAGGGAGCAGCACCAACTGTGGCACACTTCTCAATGTTTTGGGAGCCTAGATCCCGCTGGTAGCCACAGGGTACATGTAGCCAACATTCCGTGAAATGAGGGCAAGATGTGCATGTCATTCTTACCGTCCATCTTCACGGTTATGAAGATAGGCTTGGCCTGGATCTCCACCTCCTTTTGCCAGGAGCCGGTGGGTGACTTCACCCATGGAGTCACGGAGCAATAGTAGTTGCCAAAGTCCTGGTCCTCGGAACCGTGCACTTGCAGCAAGAACTCCAGCACGCTCACGCGCTCCAGGCTGAGGTTGCTTTTCCAATCCCTCTGGGCCGTGCTCACAATCCCCTTTCGATCCAATGAAGACAGCAGGACAGGAGCCTTGTCCAAGCCAAAAGAGTGCACGGCAAACCAGGACACGTCGAAAGCCATGTCATCTGTGGATGACAAAGCCAAGGTCCTGGGATCAGATCTGAGGGCAGGAAGGCCCTGGATACCTCCCACTTAAGTGTGACTCTGGCTACAGACCACCACACCACAGGCCTCCCTGAATCCCCCGATAGCTGTTCCACGAAGATGCTATCACATTCCCCCCACTCCCCGCCCCAGTGCCAGGGAGCACCCCAGATCTTCTTCAAGGTAGCACTGCTTCAAGATGTCCAGTGTGCAGCTCAGCTAACCACTCCACCACCACCACCACCACCTCACATACAGAGTCACAGAAGCCAGGGCCAGAAAGGGACTCCCATAGACCATGTGGATCATCAAACTGCCCTGACGTGACACTGGAAGTGACATTCCAGGTAGAAGGATCCTGGATTGGAATGACACTAGAGATCCGTGGAATAAAATATACCTAAAAACATTGCTGCCTGAAATTTAGAGTTGTAAATAGTTTAAATTTTATTGTTCACTGTGTTTTTCTTTTCCCCCTTTCTGTACCAATGTGCTTATGTTCAAAACAAGAGGGGGAAAAAAAGTCAAGCTGAGAAAATGGAACACGGTTTAACAGTCCCAGAGAGCAATGCTACTGAATTGTAAAGTGCCTCGCGAAATTAAGGTTGCAACAGCCTCAGATCAATGGATATGGGCACAAGAGAAAAGAGACTCTGGCATGCATGGCGGTTCACAGAGGCAGTGCAAACGGCACCTAGCACCTGCCCTGACCCCTCCTCGCGACCTGTGTCAGCAATGCTTGGCTGTGTCAGCTTTGGGGCACCCCCGGCAGCCCAGAGAAAGGTGCAGGTACCACAAACACCGCGTTCCTGACAGCCTCCTAAGAAGGGTTTTTCTGTAGATGTTAAATAAGACAATTTTCCCCCAAAACAAAATAAAATAGAAATTTATTCATTTAGGAAAAAAACATACTAAATAACCTCAGAAAGCACATCAGGAGGCAAATGAATCATGCTCAGCTGCTCACATGTTTAACAACAACAAAAAATAATGTTCAATGCAAAGCAAGAGCTTGGGTAGCATTACCCAGATGCTAAACCTTTCCAACTCTTAGAAACATGGCCTCTGCAACCCTCCCTGGTCAGCCCAGCGTGGCGGTCAGCTCACTGGGCACTGTGGTACTGCACTGTCCTCTTCCTGGAGTAGAATTCTCTCTGCAGGAAGAGCAGTGGGAATTTGAGGCCCTCCTCACACCCTCCCTAGGTCAGGGGTGGAAGAGTGGATAGGGGGTCGAGTGGGACCCCAGCTCAGCACTGTTTCCTGTGTCTGGCTGCTCACTGAAGGTACAAAGCCCCAGTGGAGTGCTTGGTCCTTGTGTGGAGACTCTAAGCCCTGCTGCCCACTGTGCCTTGCCAGAACCCCAGCACTGGCACTTATGACTCTAGGCCCTGGGCAATGTCACTTCCTTAACTGTAAAACAGAAATCGTAGCATCCATGGTTACAGGTTATAAAAATGCTTAGAACAGTTCTTAGAACTTAGAGCTCCCTAACAGTAGGCATATGCTTAATTATCCCCACAGTTCAACATCCATGGTCCTACACACACATGTGACTAACCCAAAGACCTGTTGGTGGTACTCTGCCTGCACCAGCAGGGATACTGAGTTCCTTCCCTCCCCTAGCTCTGCAGGTGTCAGCTGCTGAAGCTCTTACCCCTGTCCTTCTCCCCAGACAGCTGGCCCTTGCTAACAGAAACCACCTGCTGGGGGAGCCTGGCAGTAGTTGTGCAGTGCCCTAGCTGCTGGGCACTGCAACCTAAGGCTGTAAAAGCCCAGTGCCCAGGTGGCCTACACTCTTGGTAGGACTCGTTGCAGCATCACATGGGGAGTTGGAATCCCTCTGCCCGTCCTCTTCTTTGGTTCTATATGGATTCCTGATTCCCTCGTGGTGCTGGGCCTTGGGGGACCACTGGCATGCTTGCCTTGGGCTTCTATTTCCATGGGCTACATTGTGCCATTTGCCCACCTCCACCCTGGCCACTGTGGCCTTGGCCCTCAGCATCCATCTGCAACACACCTTCTCCAGAAGCAGTTTCTCCAAACCTTAGGAGACGTGAGGGAGAACTAAACTGTAGCTGTGTTTAATTATTCAGAATCTCCCACCCACACAGTCCAAGAGTGCAAAGTTCTGGAAAATTGGGATCTGCCAGGTAACAGCCACCTATAGCTTTGCAATTACTCTGTAGGAAAAATACTTTCATATTGAGGGCACAGCCAGTGACCCATTAATTTACTGAGAAAGGACATTTAAAGGGTTTAGTTTTGTGCATCATACGTGAGTTTTAGGGGGTAAAAATGGCATTAGCCTGCTTTGGGGAAGCATGTGTCCCAACTTTTCCATGTGGACTATTTTACCTCGCTGTCCATTTCACTTCTGGATGCTGCCTTCATGTTCCCTATCTGCACATAGGCAGCTCAGTGGAGGAGTGACAGCTCACTTAAGACCTAGGCTCTTCATTTTTTACCCACCCAGTGAATGCCCATGCTGGTTCAATGGGTTTTCTCCCTTTCCTTCTGTCTTCCACAAACACTGCTTTTTCCCACCTCTGGCAGGCAACTGTATCTAGCTTTCCCAAGACAGCCCATGTTGTTATCCACCAACAAGCCCAGGGTCAGCTAACCACAGCTCGTGGGTCAAATCCAGGCTGCCACCTGCTGTTGTAGGCAAAGCGACACCAGAACACAGCCATGACCATCAGCTTCTGATGCCCACTGCTGCTCTTGCACTGCGTTATAGCACTTGTAGCTGCTTCAGAGCCAAACATACTTCCTGCCCAGGTCCTTCACAGCAGTCAGTGCTGGCTGTGAGCCAGTGGTCACCTGCAAGTCCTGCGGGGGCCTGAACCAGACTTCCACTGTCACACACCAGCCCTGGGTGCTGGCTCTGACTTTACTAGGGTCACCATCCCCAGACTGAACCTGCTTCTAGTTTCTCACCAGGGCCATGTCTCAGAAGTACAATTCCACTCCTGGCTAGAAGCCAAGGTTCTGTTTGTAACAGGGTGGGGCGGGATAAGGAATGTTCAGGGTCAAAGGGGCAGAGCAGAAAGCAGCCAGCGGTGAGCTGGGTTCCCTGAGGGAAAGGGCAGTGGCAGGTGCAGGCCTGGCTAGCAACAGAGATTGCCTCAATGCATTCAATGTTCTAAGCCCTAATGAGTAAGACCGATAGGTCTCACAACTCTTGGCCATCCTGTTGGGAACAAAGAAAAGCTCTACAAAGATGTCCTGAGAATTCTAACTTCAACAGTACCCCCAGGGTTGCTTGCAGCCCCTCTGTTCCATATCTTTCTACAATGCTAACTGCTAAGTGATACTATTTAGCAATCTGTGTCTTGCTACTGTTTTTGCTAGATTGCACGCTCCATGGTGGCAACCTTTGGGTATTCTGTGCACTCCACCACTCTATATTCATAGCAGCACCTGCACGTAGAAGGAGCTCCGGAACCTCTGATTGAATGAGATACACAGAGCAGGAGCAGGACCTGGAGGGGTAACTCAAACCAGTCCAACATGGGCCTGGAGGGACCCACTGATTGCCCTTTCAACTCAGCCATTCAGCAAGTATTTATTAAATGCCTATAATGTACATAACGTGCCAAGCCAGGCAATTGTGGGACAGACAGATAATCCTGTCCCGGACCCCGACATCTGTGTAGCACATTGAAAATGATACGGGAGAGCCACAGAAAACAATGTGAGGAGGGGCTGGGATGGGGAGAGGTACCTGGATCCAGCACTGCCCCTTCGACGGTGATGATGCAGAACAACCTGACCAGGTCTCCTCGGGTGACCGACGGCGTTTCCGAATGCACAGAGGCATTAAAAACAGGACCTGGAAGAAAAGTCACAGTGTTCTCATTTAACCCTCTCACACTTTTGTGAGACTCCACTGCTGATGCTCATGTGGGAATCTCCATGTGGAAAGTGGTCTGGAAACTCATGAATACATGTTTTCAGGTTCCCTTGCTGCTCTTCAGAGAGACACGAGCCTTGGCTGCCTCCAAATGCACCTCACCTTAAGAGGAGAACAAAATAGAACTCTACCTGAAGACTTACTTTTGCTCCTGGCTTTTCCTTTGCTTTTTGACAACCTTGGTCTCAGGCAGGCCACCCCTACCTTGCCCCCTGGTACAGCCAGGGTTGTTTCTGATTCAGTGCAGTGAGTTCTAGGTCAGGGGCACTTGGAAGTCACAAGGACAGGGACTGGTCCACGGATGCTTTTGGGGTGAGCAGCCTCATCATGCTGTGCTGGGCACTGCGGACAAGAGCTCTGATGTAGAGAGGCTGAATGCTAGCAAGGACATGGGCACACTACCATTGCTGATATGTATGCATAGGCAATAGGACATGAAGCATGGCTCCAGGCCACCAAGGGAAACTGAGGCAGCCTGGATAGCCAAGGGAGTGAGGCTGTATTTAGTGTGGAGGGTGAATATATGAGAACTCTGTACTTTCTGTAACTTAAAACTTCCCTTAAAAAAAAAAAAGCTTAATAAAGCTGAGCAAACAGAACTCCCTTCTCCAGGCAAGACTTGTTTTGCATACCTCCCTGAGAACACAATGGATACCGTGTCTTTTTGTGAGAGTGTTTCATAGCTTTAATGCACACTGAGCTCCGAGTTGAAGGTTTGCTTTGTCTCGATGGGGTTTCCTGGGAAGCCAAGATAGATGGGCTTTGGCTGGTGACTCTCACAGAAGTTAAGAATAGAGGTATTAGGTACAGTGTGGTGGTATAACCTGATAATCATCTGCCTGTGGTGCTGGCATTCCATATGGGCACTGGTTCATGTCCCAGCTACCAATCCAGCTTTCTGCTTCAGCAGCAGAGGCTGATTCACAGGTCCTTGGGCCTCTGAACCCATGTGGAAGACCCAGAAGAAACTCTGGCTTCTGGCTTTGCACTGGCCCAGCTCTAGATGAGGCAGCCATTTGGGAAGTGAATCAGTGGATAGAACATTCTCTATCTGTCTTTGCTTCTCTCTGTAAATCTGCCTTTCAAATAAAATAAATAAATCTTAAATATTCTTTTGTTTTAATATAGTTTTATTTTGAATTCTGAATTATGTGGTACAATTTTGTATAGGCCGGGATTCCCCCTCAAATTCCCACCCCTAATAATAAATAAATCTTAAAAAAAAAAATAAAAGTGTTACTAATTTCATGTTCAAGTTGCCAGAAAGGAAAAAGGACCCTAATGCACTGTTTATAAACTTCTAGATGAAATGACTATGAGAAAGACAGTACAAGGTCAATCAACAGCAGGAAGCAGTTGACTGAAATGCCTTATTTCCATTTCACCATGACAACTACTAACAGGACACATTGCCAAGTAGAGGAAAAAATTGTGTTTTGCTTGGAGAAAGGTGAGGGGTGGTTGTAGAGCACGGAGCCCTTGGGGGGTCAGCCAGCCCTGGTAGGTCCCCGCTGAGATTTCTGATTAGCTGGAGGGCAGTGGGGCAGAAGGAACTCTAGAGGGGAAGGAGGATTCAACAGAATGGCAGACCCAGGGAGGGCAAACAGGACAAGGAGTCCAACCTGACCCCACGTCCTTTGGTGAGCTCAGTTCTTGGCCCTGGCTCCCTTGGGTCCTCAGCATAGACTTGCTCTGTCTACAGTGGCACAGAGGGAGTGGTGGTGGTGACCGAGTGGACGCTGAGAGTGAGTACAGGTGGGCGGCAGCATGGCAAGCCACGGCATGTGCTCTGTCTGCTCTTGGTTAAGGATATCATGTCATAAACAGAATTACACCAAGTCCCTTCCCAAGAGAAAGCAAAATGACAAAAGATGAAGAAATCTTCTTGGTGGATTCTTGTGTTTAGTGACTTGATCTGAAACATCAAAGACTTACAGAATGGGTTACAATTCACTATTACCAGAGAAACCCTCCAGTGCTTTCTAGTCACAAGTGAGTGTTGCCATTCCCCTTGCTGGTCATGGACGGTGGCTGTGCCATGGCACATCATTTGCTCAAGCCCAAGAAGGAAGAGGCCGTGGGTGTGGTAGCCCTTCAGTGGCCTGCCCGAACAGGTCATCAACTCCCTGGGTCCCTAACCCAGGCTTAAAATATTTCCATTGTGGTTAACTGTTAAAGGTGATGTGCTGCTGTAAGGGGGATTATTCCCATCAACAGATAATGGCATAGGGAGTTCCCATGAACCGGAATCCCTGAGGGTCCAATCAGCAGAGTGCATCAGAAGCGGTAAGCTTTTACAGACAAACCCAGCCATGTTTAACGCCAGCCCTTGGAACACATATCTGCTAATGGCAGTACTTTAATGAAAGCAAAAATCATAGCCCATCTGTCTATTCATCAGTATCGTGACAATAAGCAAATTCTGGCTCATCCATTCACTGGAGCTGCCATTTACCTAGAGTTTATTCTAGCTCCAACAATGCTTATCTTACAAGACTAAATGGGACAAAACAGGTGACAAAGTGGGAGACATAGCCCAAGATTAAAGCCATAAGTGAAAACCTATAGGACAAAAACTCCAGGAAAACGAACAATACAGAAGAATCATCTGTTTGCTATGATTCTCTTTTCTCTTTTTCTATTATTTTACTCTAATTTTCAAACTTCATGTATTAAGAAGAAAAAAATTCACTCTTATTTTATTAAAAGGCTAAAAGCCTAGACCCATCCCATTTCTGATATCCCAATTTCCTCCTTACACTGGATTTCACCAACAGGCAGTGGCCCTGAAACTGGGACAGGAAGGTGGATGCAGGGAAGACCTCATCATCACGCGTCTTAAAGCCAAGCTGCTGATTTTTAGGAAAGAAGGGCCGTTTGCTTTCAAGACCATGTTTGCTGCAGGCTACTTAGGGCTACCGCATTGTGCTGTGTGAATTCACTGGCAGCTTCTCCTACTTAAAATGTGAATTGACTACCCTGGCATCAAGGATTAAAGAAGATAAAAACCTTAGGCAGTCCATTCAACCTGGAAGCTGCGGGGATTTTATCTGTTCTGCTGAGATTTACGGACTTGAGAAATAAGATTTAATACCCACTCCTCACCCAGAAAAGCATGGAAAGCTCTTATGTTTTCCTTTTTCCACATCACAGATTAAAAGAGAGATCAAATAAAAATGTAAAATGAGATGGAATTGATGTCTATGTCTACACAAATAAAGGACCACAACCACAGGGTCATCTCCACTGCAGGGACAACAAAGCAGCATCAGACAACAGCTCCGTGACAAGAACTGTCAATAACTTAAGAACCAAAGGAAACTCCTTCAGCCTGACAAAGGACACCCAGGAAAACCCACGTGTGACACAGCACACCATGATGGAAGACTGAAAGCCTTCCTGCCATCAGGAACAAGCCAGGATGCCTACATGTACTGTTGCTTCTATTCAACATTGTACTAGAGTTTCCAGAACACACAGCAATGAAGCAAGAAGAGGAAATGGAAGGTATTCGGTTTGGAAATGAAAAAGTAAGGACAAGTGCAATGGTTCAACTGGATAATCCTTCACCTTCAAGTACCAGGATCTCATATGGCATGGGTTTGTGTCCTCGCTGCTCCTCTTCCCATCCAGCTCCCTGCTTATAGCCCAGGAAAGGCTTGCGACTGTGCACTTATGTGATAGACCTGGCAGAAGTTCCTGGCTCCTGCCTTAGGATCGGCCAAGCTGCAGTTATTGTGGGCCATCTGGGGAATGAACCAGCAGATGGAAGATATTTCTCTCCTCTCTGTAAATCTGCTTTTCCAATAAAAAGAAATAAATCTTTTTTTAAAGAAAAAAAAAAAACCTATTCCCTAATCACAGATGGCATATCTTCCCAAGAAGTCCACAAAAAAGTAACAAAATTAATAAGTAAGTTCAGCAAGATTCTAGATATAAGACACAGAAAAATCTGTTGAAGATAAATTAACAAAGCAATATAATTTATAATAGTATCAAAGAGTCTAAAATTCTTAGGGTAAATTTAACAAAGGAAGTGTTTTATGTCTGCAGTGAAATTTATAAAGCATCATTGAAAGAAATTACCATGTCCAAAATAAATGGAAAGACATCCATGTTTATGGATTGGAAGACAATATTGCTAAGTGACAATATTTCCAAACTGTTCTATAGATTCAACACAATCCCTATCCAAGTCTAAGCTGGTTTGTTTGTTTGTAGCAATTAAGAGGCTGATCCTAAAAGTCACATGAAACACAAGGAATTCAAGAACAGAGTTGGGGGGATCACACATCTTTTTTTTTTTTTAACGATTTATTTATTTTTATTGTAAAGTCAGATATACAGAGAGGAGGAGAGACAGGCAGGAAGATCTACCATCTGTTGATTCACTCCCCAACTGGCTGCAATGGCCGGAGCTGAGCTGATCTGAAGCCAGGAGCCAGGAGCTTCTTCCAGGTCTCCACACAGGTGCAGGGTCCCAAGGCTCTGGGCCATCCTTGACTGCTTTCCCAGGCCACAAGCTGGGAAAGCAGGGCTGCTGGGATTAGAACCAGTGCCCATATGGGATCCTTGTGCATTCAAGGCGAGGATTTAAGCCACTAGGCTACCTACCGCGCCAGGCCCAAGCTCACATGACAAATTTTAGTTATAAAACTTCAGAACGCAAATAAAAAATGAGTGGCATAGTGAATAAATTGACGTCCTAAGATACCTGGTAGTCTATATGGGCACCAGCTCCCATCCTGGCTGCTTCACTTTTAATCTGGGTGTCTGCTAATGGCTCAGGAAAAGGTGACCCAAGTGTTTGGTCTTCTGTACCCACATGAGAGACCTGGAAGAAACTCCCAGCTTCTGTCTTTGTCCTGGCCCAGCCCTGGCCATCTCATCTCATCTCATCTCTCTCTGCAATTCTTTCAAATAAATAAATAAATCTTTAAAATAAATAAGCAAAAAACAAAAAAAGATACTGGTATAAGGACAGAAATATAGATTACTGCAATAGAACTGAAAAGTCTAAACATGTGTAAACCTTTACATGTCTAATGATTAAATGCTCACTTGCTAAGGGCATCAATATAAGTCAATGGGGGAAAGCACAGGCTCTTCAGCAAATGCTGCTGGGAGAGCTGTGCACATCCATGCAGAAGAACAAAGTTGTACCCTTTCCTCACATCCCATACAAAAATAAACTCAAAATGAACACAGCTGCAAATGCAGAGCTAAAACTGAAAAATTCCTAGAAGAAGTCACAGGTGTAATTCTTGATGTAGATTCGACAATGATTTCTCAATACATCCAATGTACAAACCAAAAAGAAGAGAAAGAAACACAACAAGCTGGACTTCATCAACACTCTGACGGTCAGCATCTGGCCTAGTGGCGAAGGAGGCCTGTGACCCTTACTGAAGTGCCTGGTCTGACTCCTGGCTGCACGGCTGATTCCAGTTTCCTACCAATGAACACACAGGATGCAGCAGTAACAGCTCAATTGTGCCACTCATGAGGAAAGTGTGAATTTACTTCCCAGCTCTTGGTTTAGACCCAGCCCAGCCCAGCCCGGGCTATGGCAAGCATTCAGGGAAAAACCAGCAGATAAGAGGTATCTGTTTGTCTGTCTCTCTGTCTTTCAAATAAATCAAAATCATTTTAAAAGAAAATTCAAAACTTTGTTTCCTTAGTGGACATGAAAGTGGAAAGAGAACCGAAAGAATGAAAGAAGCTAACACACATGGAAGCATCATTCATGACAGTCAAACGGCAGAAACAATCTAAATGTCCATTAGCAAGTGAATGGATAAATCAAATGTAGCATAATCATACAATGGAAAATTATTCAGTCACAGAAGGATTGAAGTCATCATTCATGCTATAACATGGCTGGATCTGGGAAACATCATGCCAAGTGAAAGAAGTTATCCACAGAGTTCCATGTGTTGTTTGCTTCTGTTTGCGAACCAAGAAGCCAATTTATAGGGATGCAGTAGGTTAGTAGTCACTAAGGGAGGAGGGTTTGGGGCAGGAAGTGGCTACTCATGGGAACAGGGATTAAAACTAGTAGGAGTGGGCACAGCGTGGTAGCCCAGCAGCTAAAGTTCTTACTTTGAACGCGCCAGGATCCCATATGAGCACCAGTTCTAATCCTGGAAGATTACAACTTTATACATTCACTAGCAACCACTGAAAACTGTACACTCTAAATGAGTGAATGTTGTGGCATATGTATTGCACCTCAGTAAAGCTGTTATTGAAAACAAAAAAATAGATACACAGCAGAGGAGAACCTGTGCTATTTTTGCTCTTCCCACACCTAAAGGCATAAATCAACATTTCCCTTTTATTAATTTAAAGGTTAAAAGAGGCTAGAAAATTTCACTGTCTACTATAAGAGGTTATAATAATACAAGATAATATTAATAGAAAACAAACTTCACTAGAGTTTACCTTTAATACAAATGCTAATAAATTCATTTAATAAATATTTATATTCATTTCACTGATTCAGTTCATACCCAAATTTTTATAAATGAGTATAAATGTATACATTCAGAAATTTTTAACTGGGATGAGTAAAAATATCTACTTATAAATTCACAAATGATAATCTTTTTATTGACCATCTAAATAAGGTTCAGGAGGAAAAGCTTTAAAATCATCTTTCTGCTGGAACACACACATAGGTCTGAGTATCTTAAATTACACACTCATGAGGAGGAAATACTTCTATTTGAGAATAGAATACTTCTATTCCATTTGAGAATAGAAGCAGATACAAAAACGCATGCTTTAATCAAGTTTCCTACAGTTGACTATAACTAATAACTGTCCTTAACACATTGAGCTGACAGATCCATCCATCCCTACCATGGCAGCTCCAGCAACTTGACTATTTAACAGGAAATCTTTTTTCCAACCTACAAGCAAGGTGAAGAATAAGGCTGAGATAATCATGCCCCCTATGGAAACAAGGCTCTAATGAGTTGGGCCAGGAATAGTAGTCACGACCTTCTATCCTAAAGGGCCTCAAGAACGGAAAGTCATGTGACTGGGCAACACCTGGGTCTCAGCTTTCATCTCGCCCTGCTGGACGTCACTTAGGCCCTCTGTAGATTCAGCGTATTCATCTTTCTTCACTTTTCCAAAGGCTCTCAAGTAGCTAAGTTTCTACTTATTTCTTAAAAGTAAGAGCAGAAATGAATGTTCTCCTAAATATTTGTACACAAATGCTCACAGCACCATTAATTGTAATAGTTAAGGACTGGAAATATCCATCAGATGACGAATGGATAAACAACATGTGGTACAGCCACACAAATGATTATTAGTCATAAAAATGAGGTAGAAACACACTACAACAATGGACTTGGAAAACATCATGCACAGGCACACAATGGCCACATATCACATGATTCTAATTGTGGAGAAATGTCTAGAACAGGCAAAATCTACAGAGACAAAAGAAGAGCAGTGGTTCCTGGAGGCTGGGCAGGGGGATGGGGTGTGGGCTTGGAGGATGTCAGCTAAAACATCCAGGGATTCTTTGAGGGATAATGATAATGTTCTAAAATTGGTGGTGGTGTGCAGGGATGGCCATACAATCCTGTGAATATATGAAAAACCATCTAACTATGCATGTCACATGAGTAAATTCTATGGCATGTGAATAAATAAAACAAAACAAAATGTGAGGCCATTCCATTGAAATCTGAGGGTGAAGGTGAGCATTGTGGTATGGTCTTTGTGGGGCTCAGAGGCAAAGAGGTCACTAAGTCAATAAGATGGCAACTAAGGTCAGTCCAGGTCACTGGTGGACAAGATGGCTGCCAACGACAGAGTCCTGGGCGTGAACCAGGGCAGGAGTCACATAGCTCCAAGGAAATACTGATTGACCAGGGCCATCTCACTCACCTACCCCTGGCCTATGGGAGGTGGCTTCCGCAGTTATTCTCCTAGTAATTGGCTCCTAGTTTCTCCCCTCCTGGAATTCCTGAAATTCCCGGCCTGAGGGTATCCCTTACCCTGTATAAGAAATTGAATTTCTCCAATAAATCAGAACTGCTTAGACAGATGAACCCCTGTCCGTCTGTTTGTCTCTCGTGGGCAGAGAGGTTGGGTGGTGAGCAGCAGGCTCATCCCCTCCGGCAAAGGGGTACTAAAGGAATCTGTGGGGGAGACCCCGCAGTCTTCCCACTTGAGTACTAGTTCAAGTCTAGATTGTTCCACTTTCAATTCAGCCCCCTGCTAACACACCTGGGAAAGCAGCAGAAGACAGCCCAAGTGCTTGGGTCCCTGAAACTCATGTGGTACACCTGAACTGAGTTGTCATCTTCCAGGATTTGGCCAAGGCTGTGTTCCCTGTAGCCATCAGTGGGGAGGGAGTGGTGAACCAGCAGTTGGCAGCTCTCTGTTTCTCAAATATATAAAAATTATTATTTTTCCCTCAATAGAATCAATCTATGACCCAACAGGGCTCCCCACTTACCTGAGGTTTGGAAGTCAATTTCAATAGGATTGGAAAGACTAGTTGCTGCTTCTCGCCACAGGCTGCCCCCAACAGGAGACCAGGCTGTCACCACACAGCGGTACAGCCCCGCATCAGAGACCTGAGTTTGGTACATTCGATAGCGGAATTCATCCTCTTGGACTTTCTCCAACACAACACCATCCACCCGTGACGCATCTGTCCAGTTCTCCAGCTTCACCACAGAGTCCTGGTCCAGGGAGATGATGTACTTGGTTTCGTTGGGGCTGGAGAGGTCCCCGACAGGTTTCTCAGCCGTGATGAGAACAGAGTAGCGTGGCGATTTAATATTCTTGGAAGACACTTTGCAAGTCATCTCAAAAGTATTTCCTGCAGCAAAGAAAGGCTTCGGCTGCCTTGCCTTCACCACGAGCACAGACTCTGGAATGAAGTACAGAGGGAATTTCCAAGAGGATTGGTTAGAGTACATTTGCATGAAAATTAAAATGTCGAGGAAGTAGAACATTGTCTACAAACTGCCCCACAAAGGCAATTAGAAGATTCTAGAGACCCAGGGAGAGAACATGGGGAGCTGGAATCAGGCTGAAAACTGCCATATTGGAGAAAGCAGTCAGAAATGACTTAATGGGAAGCAGGTGTTTTGCCCAAGGGTTAAGCTTCCGCTTGAGATGTCCACACACAGTGGCGTGCCTGGGTTTGAGCCCCTTCCCTACTTCTGATGCCAGCTTTCAGAAAATGCACACCCTGGAGGGCAGCAGTTCATAGCTTGAGTAGTTAGCTCCCTGGTACCCACATGGAAGATCTGAATTGAGTTCTTGGCTTCCAGCTTGGCCTGGTCCAGCCCAGCCACTGTGGGCGCTTGGGGAGAGAGCCGGTGGATGGGAGCTGTCTCTCCCTCCCAGAAAACAAAACATTTTTTTCTTAAAAAAAAAAAATTAGTACAAGGGGATGAGAAATTGATGGTGGAAATTTGGTCTTAAGTATTTTCAAGTCCTTGAGAAGTTTTCACTAAGCAAACTGGAATCTACTGGGCTCCCAGGGATAGGAGCTGGAGTCAGTTCTTGGTGAGCTGTGGAACACAGGGATGAATGTGACAGAGGCCAGTCTGTGAGTCAGGCTACCTGCTTTGTTCCCCTGAGCATCTGTTGAGTGCAGGCAAACTAATCCTAGGGGACCAGCCCTCATGGAGGGCAGGGAAGGGAGAAATGGCTTCTCTGTGTTTAATCATAGGAGGGTAACATCCTCGAACAGATCGATTGCTAAGGTGATCACAGCATATGCATGTGTAGGTCTAATCATTCCCACTGGGTTACACTTTTAGAGACTCTGCTTTAACATGGCGAGCAAGTGTGTACAGCAGCATAACTTCAGGTCTAAGTGCATCACCCGTTGCTTCCCTGCCAAGCCTATAACTGAAGCATATATGCACTAGAATTCATCTTTTATAGTGGCACAATGTCACTTGGAAGCTACTTAAATATTTGCTGAATAGATGAATAAATGAATTAGACACACTCCTTTTCTCCTTCAGTAAGACACCTAATCCTATAATCTGTCCTGTAATACATGAGATTTTTTTTATGTTGGGCTTTTGAGAACACTTGTTCCCCAAATCTACCAGCAGAATATGTATGCTATTCCAGGACTGCCTCTCCTGATTTCAGACACTGCAGTGAGCCAAACACATTCTTGCTTGGTTCTCCTGTGAATCTGGTCAACATTTGTTGATTAAGCAACTCCTTTTTGAGAGCCTGCTGGGTACCAGGTCCTGGGAATATAACAGTAAACACAATATACAGAAATCCCTCCCTTTATATGTCAGAAATCAAAGCGGATGAATCAAATGCATGATATGGTAAGATGTTGATAAATGCTTTGGAGAAAAGAATCCAGGCAAGGAAGAGAAAAGGTGTGGGTTTACACGGAGGGCTGGGGGGCGGGTTAAGAAAATGTATATAGAGCAGCCAGGGAGGTCCTCGCTGAGAAGGCTGCACAAGGAGCTGAAGGCAGGCAAGAAATCAAGTCCTGAAGCCATCCAGGGAAAAGCATCCCAGACAGCAAGAACTACAAGTATAATGCTGTGATGCAGAAGCAGGCCTGGAGTATGCCCAAGGAGCCGTGGGAAGGATGGAGTGGGTGTGGAGTGAGTGGTAGGTGAGGCCAGAGGCAGTGGGCGGTTGGTAGAGGGACCCAAAGCCACTGAAAGTCCTCTGGCTGTTGCTGTCATGAAGGAGTTTCAGGAGCTTCCTGGTGTTGATCAGGATTGCTCTAGTTGTCTTGTGTAAGAGCAAAAGAAAGACTGGTTAGGAGTCTAGTGGCAGAAGTCAGGCAACACGGGATGGCGGCTCAGTACTAGTACAGTGTGACAAGGACTCAGTTTTAAGAATGCGGAGTCATGTGTAAAGCAGCTGCGGTCTGAACAACTAGCTCAATGATGCCTGAGAAGACTGAAAGAGGAGAGCTGGCCAAGAAGACTGAAGCCATTTAACAGAGGCTCGAGATATCCTTTAGACAAACAGAGGTGTCCAGAAAGCAGCACAACCCTGGGCAGCAACAGGGGATGGTTCAAACACTTCCATGTCTGCCACTCTGGGAGAAGATTCGTGCTGAGTTCCCAGCTTCAGCCTGGCCCACCCTGGCTACTGCAGGCATTTGGGAAGTGAATCAGTGGATGAAAGATCTCCTTTTGACAGTTCATATCTATCTCTGTCTCACAAATAAATTTCAGAAAAAGAAGACTGTATATCATGGGGGCTCTGGAAAAAGGTCCAGGGTAGAAATGCAAATTTGGGCAGCAGTGTTATCCAGATGATAATTAAATTATTGAGATTAGAGCAGATCACCAAAGGAACAAGGTTGCATGGTAGTCTAAGGACCACATCATGAAGTGGTTTAATAGCTGAGGGTCAAAAATGAACAAGAACTGGCAAAGGAAGCTGAAGAGTAGCCAGGATGGCTGGGAGAAAGCTTGGTTAAGGCACTGTCCAACAAGGCTAGGGAAAAACCAAAATACCCCTAGGACAAAAGGATGACCATTATGTCAAACTGCACCAAGTAAAGCAAGAGAATCGACAACTAGATCCTGCATGTGCGAATCGCCGGTCATTGTACCGTGAACAGGAGGAAAAATCTGATCAGAATAAGTACCAAAGATAGTGGAGGTAGAGAAATTGGAGACATCAAGTATAGATCATTCAAATAATATGATGGTTAATAAAGGAAAAAGAGAGGAATAGATAAGCAAGAGGGTGTGGGGAACAGAAAGGTGGCAGGGAAGATGAGACCAAGACTAGGTTGAAAAACCAAACCAAACCAAATGCTAACAGGCCAATGGGAAACATTTAGCAGAGAGAGAACCACTGCTGGGTTATGTGAGGAGCCAGGTGCTGGAGCCATAAGAGAAGCTGGTCTATCCTAGGACACGGGGCGAGTAACATGGCTCAGCTACTGGGCTAGAGCATGTGTGAATTTTCCTGATATGCACTTTTTTTAAAAATAGAGATAGGAAGGACTGACAGCTGTTTGGGGAAGAGGGTGGCAAAGAAGGCAAAATGGAACACTCATGCAGGAGAGCCAGGAAGCAAACAGATGAAGGCAACGCAGTGCTGAGAGCCCGTGGGACATAAATGATCACAGATGCAAAGGAGGCCAGTCAACATGTTGCGATGTGTTTTTTCTTCCACCACAGTTGGCCTTGCAAATGCAGGGAGGGAGGCAGCAGGGAGGTGCTTTGAACTAGACTGTACTTTAGACAGAGTACAATGCAAACTAAAGGAGGGACAAGAAAGTTAAAGGTAGACGCAAGAAAGCGATTATGAACAACTGGGATCTGGGCTGCATTATACTAGCAATTGCATACCTGATCCCCCTCTCCCACTCCTGGACTTAGGCTACAGTGGAAGAGTAGTCATTCCAGCAGGACAACTGGTGCCATAAATCTCCTGAGCAAATGGTCCCACCCGAGGTAAGAGAGAAGAGAGGAGACAGTAGGAAGGAAGAACAATACAGGGTGGTAGGCACAACTGATAGCTGGCCCTGGTAGGGCTGAAGGGCGGCAACTGGAGTACTACAGAGATTGATCTAGAAACACAGCAGCTGTTTAGAGAATGGGATGCTTGCAATCAAGACCATGCAAGTCGCTTCAGTCACCATAGTGCTATGGTCCAATGAAAGGGCTCAGCATGCGGATGAGGCAGCAAAGGGGATCAAGAACACAATGACTAGAGAGAGGCTGACGGGGTTCTTGACCTTGGCTGCACTTGTAAACCACCACAGGAGCACTGCAACATTCCAGTGTCCAGACTGAACACACAACATATCAATTAAAATAGTATTTTAGTGGACCCATGCACCAGCCTTTTTTGTGGTTGTTGCTAAGCTCCTCCTAGGGTGATTTGGACCGTAGCTCAGTGCTCTGCCTGGATATTGAAGTTAGCAAGAGAGAAGCAGTATTAGAGAAAATGGTCACAAAATGGAAGTTATCATCTTCAAAGAGTGACGGACTAAAAGGCAGCAACAAGGGCAAGGAGAGGAGGTGGTCTGGCCTGATGACACGAGAGTCTAAGTCAGATGTTTTTCCAGGTGAGGGGAGTGATCCGGAAGCTGCAGTGAGGAACCAGTGGACACTGGCCCTACTTATAGGCCTGGATATAGCAGGAGTATGGGAAGAAAATGCCACCACCTATGAGAGCTCGGGGGAGAGGTGGCCTCAGCAAGTGAGGTGGATAGTATTTAATGCACAAATAAAGGAGCCCTCAAGAGATGAAGTTTAGAAGTCAGGAGGATGTCGGTGATGGCAGCGGGTTCTAGAAAGTTCTCTAAGGTTAGAGGGGTGGTAGTAAGCCCAAGGACAGTGTAGAGGACTGTCGGGTGATTAATGGGTTCCTAGTGCATCCTAAAGTTGCACAACTGGGATGACCTCAGCAAAAACCAAACCAAACCAGATCATGAACAGGAAGGAAGCTCTTACCTTCTGATGCCCAAAAGATGTTGACAGGTTTGGAGAAGACATCCTTACTCTTCACCCAGCTGCTGTTCCGCTGCTTGGTCCAGGCGGAAATGACACAATAGTAATTGCCTCTGTCTTCCTCTGCTGTCCTTTGGATCCGGAAGCTGAATGAGTCTGGGCGTTCCTTAGAAAAGATCAACTCTCCGTCCTGGGACCGCTGCTTGCTCCTCTCCCCGTATTTCACTGTCCAGTCCCCGTCCATGACTGCCAGCAGCTCACTGGTCACCACGTCATCACTGCGGCGGTTCCTCCTGTAGTACCATGAGACTGTAAAGCGCACACTCGCCTCTGTGCTCTTTGTGTCCAGCACCCAGCACTCCAGCTCAGTGGGGTCATCTGCAAAGCTGGGGACCTTGGACGCATTCAGGTACACTTGATAGCTGGGTTCTAGACGGGTCAGGGAGAGAAGCCGGAAAACAGAATGACATAGCAACACTACACGGAAGGAACCAGACACACACTGCTCTTGCTCTACCCACTAATGCCTGTCCTACTGACTGTCGAGACAGAAAGCAGTATTTGCAGCAGATGGGATATGAGCCCACTTTCTGTTGCTCTAATAAAATACTTGAGGCTGGATACTTTAACAAGGAAAGGGGTCTATTCAGCTCACAGCTTTAGAGGCTGGATGTCCAAGATGAGGTGGTCCTATCCTTTTAGCCTCTGCTGAGGGCTCCTTAGGCTTTGTCGCAAGATTGCTGAGATGGGCAAAGGGAACACGAAGCATTTGGGATAGACCAAGTGCATGAGGTGCTCTCATTTGCAAACAATCTGCTCTCCTGAGAACTCATTCACTCCATGACTCCAACATCAATCCCTTTCAACAACAGTGTCCTCATGACCTCCACTAGGCTCCAGCCTTGAAACTCTGCAGTCTGTGTTGTGGCATAGCAGATTAACTGCTGCCCAAGACACCAACATCTCTTATGGGTATGGCTTTGTGTGCCACTGGCTCTACTTCCCATCCATCTCCCTACTTATGGCCTGGGAAGGCAGCAGTAGATGGCCCAAGAATCTGGGCCTCTCCTACCCACGTGATAGACACAGATGAAGCTCCTGGCCACTTGGGAGTGATCCAGGGGATAGTTCACTCTCTCTGTGCAACTGAGCTATCACTGCTCAGCCTCATCACACTAGGGACCACATCTCCAGCACAGGAACCTGTTACGGACAAACCACAGTGGGCAGAAAGGGTTCTGTTAGGGGGTCTCTGCAAAATCTAGAAAATACTCTTGCCACACACCACCCAGAAAGTCTCCCCAGGACAGAAGCCAAGAACCTAGGTCTTCCTGCAGGGATAACGTATGCTTCCCACCTTGCCCACAGGCTGGAGTATCCTAAGAAGGACTTTTCAGAAGTGCTGGGGCACACTTTGCCAAGACTGGCTCAGAAATGCCCAGCAAATTGGCTGATCTGCCTTGTGCCTTGGGAAGCCCAGACCACATTACACGACGGGAGGGCCATCCATGCCACCATGGTTTGGGTTCCTGCCTCCCTTGGTCACGACCCAAACACACACCTTAGGTCATCACTCCCTCTGCACAGTCTCATCCTCACACAAATTTTCTATTGACTGCACTCAGTGGTTCCGAATCACTCCCATCTTCATTTCCCCCAAGGATGTTCTTATTCTGCAGACCTGGACCATCTCCTTGTGAACCTGACCCCAACAGAGCACAGCACCTGTTGCCACTCTGCTCCCTGCCCTGTCCTCATGTTCACAGTGCTGGGAGAGAACCTGGCGCCCTCCTGACATTCTCCCCACCTCTCATTCGGTCTAGTTTTCGCTTGTGTAAAAGCCCTGTTTCCTTGGAGGCTCATTGCATTATGTAATTCATTTCTGCCCCTCCACATTTTGTCCTTATTGGCTCACGATTTCCTGCACATTTGCCAAAGGAAGACTAACGGTGCAATCTCTTTATAGCTCCTTTTCTTCTCCCTCCCCCACCCCCAGACTCTCCTGTGGGTTTCATTTCATTACCTGAGTTATCTGGTCATCACCTGGACTCATCCCACCTGCCTTCAGCCACCTGCATGCAGAGTCTCAGGGCTGATGCTTCTCCTTTGTGCTCCCCTAAGCCATGTCCTCTTGCACACCAGCCAACCAGCTACGCTGTGCCTGCAGATCTCACCCCCAAGGTCCAATTATGATGCCTTATTTGAAGTGGGCACTCACTAAGCATTGACTTTTGTTTCTATCACCTTTAGCCTTCTAGGAAAAAAAAACAGCTTTACTGAAACAAGAACTTCCCATTTGCCAACACTGTCTTTATTTGCATCACCCTTCATGAAACCACTTAGTTTTATGTAACGTGGCTTTTATTTATGACTTATACAGACTATAAACCGCTGAGGTCAAGGAATTGCTCTTTTTCTGATTTACACCTCTAAGCAAAGTTATAATATCATGACTTCACCAAAAAAATGATCCACTGGGCCAAGAAACAGAAAGAATTCAAACTCCAAATTCCCTCTGAGGTCATCTTCATGAGTATTTAACTACAAACAACGTTAGACCCTGTGCCATGAAAGGTTGAGTCAGTGTGGCCCCCGCTTGCCCACAGGGACAGATTTGGCTGGGAGGTGGACCCTGGAGACATACCCCAGACAACTTGGCCATTCTGCTGCCTCACTTGTCAGGTGCATGTGCTAAACTTCCCCAGCTGGAGGGTGTCCTTCACATAGGGTCCTAACACCGCAGGCTTTCCCAGCAGCAACTGACAGCAGGATACATACCCCCACAAAGCTGTTATGAACCAAGATGAGGAATATTCATATTACTCACATCCAGGCTGCAAACTTGAATGCAGACCCAAGAGCAGAGAAGAATAGCCAGGTCTGTTTGACAAGGGGAGGACTGATTCGAACTGACTAAGTGCACAGCAAGAACATACTCCCACAGGCCTGTCTAAACTGACCTACACGGCTGCAGCATCAACCAGACCCCACGCCAGCTGCCTCTTTCAGGACTCCAGGTCAAGCACAATGCTGGAGACCCCTCAGCTTGAACATCACACTTTGAGGCAGTAAAGTGCAGCAGGTAAGAGCCAGGGGTCTGGGGACACACTGTGTTCACATCAGCCTGTCTTCTTTTTCTATGCTGTATGCATGTGTATAGATATACACACAGACACAGGCATCTGAGGTTGTTATTCATGATCCCCATTTCACTCCAAGTAGAAGGACCTTGACAAGCTGCCCACACAGCTGCAAAGCAGCAGCTCTAAACCAGGGTTGCATCCTTTCCCCTGCCTTGCCAGAACATCCCCATATCTTGGATGAACCAAACACTTTGTATTTTCCCTCTACCGCTGACTCACAGAATGCCCACTGGAAGCCCGAATACTATGGTGGCTGTGACACAGCTAAGTCACCACACTGGAACTCTGACCCGGGAGATCTGTCTCTGCAACCCAGCACCTCAGCCTGACTGACCAGTATGACCGACAATGCCAGGAGGCTGCCTGTGAGGAACCCTTTCCTATGCCCTCCCAGGGATAATCCTTCTGTCTGTCAAGGTTCACTTCCACCCAACCCCCCTAGACATACTCTTTCAGAGTCACACCCTTTCGAAGGTGTTTTGTGAAAATCAGGATGAAAGATCGTGGGGGTTTATCAACACATTATTCGTGATGGCCAAGATAAGGAATCAACCCCAGTGTCTCGCGACAGGTACATAAGGAAACTTGGTCTATGTGCACATGGAATTGATTCCAGTATTCCTCAGGAGACAGATGGACCGAGAAGACAATATGGTAAGTGAAAGGAACTAAGCCAGGCACAGAAAGCCAAATGTCTCGTGATCACACTTATAAGACACTGGACCTGAAGAAGTAAAACCCACAGAGGCAGAGAGTAAAAGCAACAGTGATGAGGGCAAAGAGATGGCTGATGGTCAAAGGACCCCAAATGTCAGACGGGATAGCCTGTGACTGTGACCAACAACACACTTGAAAACTACCAAGTGATCTCAAATGTTAAATTAAATCTAAATGTTCCTACCATTAAAAAGATACATCAGGTAAAAGCTATGTTAATCAGCTTAATTTAGCCATTCTACAAAGTATGCAACATCACATTGTATGTCACAAATATATTTGATTTTAATCGTCAACTAAAACATTTTAAAAAGTCAGCAGAGAAAAGACGACTTGAATGACCCATTGGTGTTCAGAACAAGCACCCATGGAAAAGGCCGTCAGAACCAGGGCCTGCACCCATCCCAGGATCAGCCTCCCTGTCTCAAGCCCCAAGTCTCAGACGGCTGTGACCTGAAGTTCTCCCTAGGCCCACGACCTGCCAGTGGCCCAGAGCTGAGTTCCCAGCATTCTGACCTATGTGTCTCCATAGCACCTCAAGTCAGACATATCTACAAACCAGTGCTCTGCCCCCATTTCCGCCTCTGCCAACCTACACATATGCACACAACATACACCGCCCCCCCCCCCAGAACCCACTCCAAACAGCCAGCCCCTTCTCCCAACATCCGCCCTGCACTCTTCCGGCCACCTTAGCTTGACGCATGTGACGGCTCCAACATGCCCTGTCTCTTGCTCTCCATCCTCAGGGTTCCTGTGTTTTACACATCCCACTCCTCAGGATCTCCCATTTCTCCTGCTTGCAGGCATTCCATAAATATCATGGTTAGAAATGAAAACTTCATGGACAATCCCCTTGTCCTGACCCTCCCTGTCCGCAGCCAAGACAACCTCCCAGGGGCACCTCCAGGGCAATACAACAGCCAGTCCATCTGTTGGAAACCACCCCTTGGCCCCGCCCCATGACCTTTTCCCTCACGGAGTGACGTAAGCGCTCATACCCCAGGCTGGCACCCAAGGCCTGCACAGGTGCTCCCAGCTCCACAGCCCCACAGCCAACTGCCTTCCTCACGCCATTTGGGCAGCACCTCTCACCACCTTAATCACCCCCATGCTTCCCATCACTCCCTGCCTTCCTTCCCGCAGGTCCTGCTGCCTGAGCACATGAACTATCTGCAAGTTGTTGAAGAAATGATGACACAGATTCTCCCAGTCTACTCCATCTAATACCTGAAATGGATCCATTTAAATCCTCTGGATTCAAACAGAGAAGCCAGGGTGCTGTGCATTTAGCAGGTTGTGTGCAGTTAGTTGCAGCAATTCCAGCTTGGTAGGGGAGAAAAGTCCTTATGGACTCTACTAATGGCAGGTCCCAGAAACAAGACCTCAGCTTGAAGACAAAGACAAAATTAAGTAGATTCTTGGCTTGTGAACTCCCTAACCTGGTCGCTTTTTGGCCTTACACCCCTAGAGCAGGTAGGAGTAGGGTCAGGTTCTTATTTATTTCAGTTTGGGTGCATGTGTAGAAATGATCTTTTAATACTATTTTTACCATTTAAAAGATGGTTT